TTCTTTTTGTTTGAACACTAGTCATAGAACCCCATCCCTAAGGCGCTCTGAACTCTACCATTTCCAGCATTGTGAGCAAGCTACACCAGGGCATGAGGACACTCCAGAGGCCTGGTTCATCCTCACAGATGGGAAAGCAGGGCACAGAGAGGAGTAGTAACTGCCTCTGAGTCACACAGCCTGCTTAAGGCCAGGATTCTGCCTTGCACCCTTCCCAGCCCTGCCATATTTAGTAGTGATGAGGAGACCCAAAGTGGCTGTTAGATCAGGTCAGTCCAAGCCTGCTTGCGCTGGATGCCGACACCTTCTCGCTCTGCCCTCTCTACTGTGTGGTTCTTTCCCTTTCTTTCCCCTTGCACTTCTGTGTCAAGGTGGTTCATCTTCAAGCCATCACCCCTGCTTTCTGGGCAGGAGGAGGTGAAGGGTTTCCCCCCAAATCTTTTCTGGGGTAATGTGTGCCCAAACCCAACTGATAGACCTCTAATGCAACCACTACACCTGAGGCTCGGGGAAAATCACAGAAGAGGGGGAGGGACGATGGTAAGAGCCAAAAGACCAGGATGCCTTTGGTGAGATAGCATCTTCTATATATGACAGGGAAGCGGCACCTATGGACTTTTCAACAGTATGGTTGCCAAACAGGGCCAGGGTCATAACACCAGCTGACTGCCAACCTGGAAGAGGAAATTCCATCCCCTAGATGAAGAGCCATAGGTGACCAATGAGAGAGAATCAGTCTCCTTCAAGAGCAAACTCCCACAGAAGTTGTTCAATCTCAAGTGGTCAGCTCAGGACACGCGCAGATATGAACAACATGAAATACTCACTAGATTATATACATGTGTGCATATGTGTGTATATACATCATATAACAATGATTAAAGAGAAGAGCATGAATTTGGGGGGCACAGGGAGAGTTGGAGGCAGGAGCGGGGCGGAGTGATGATATAGATCCAGTGTTCATGTATGATAGTCTCGGAAAATAAAATTATTAAAGAACTTTTCTGAAGCTAAAACCCTTGTGAGCCACAGAAACAGCTGACCTGAGCATCCGGGAACTCTTGCTCCCCAGACTGATAGCTGGGACACCAGCATGGGACTGATCCAGACCCCAGGAACATGGGTTTCAGTGAGGAAACCTCGGAAATCTATGGGACCTCCTGTAGAAGTTCCTTCCTTCTCCCTAGCATAGGTGTGGACTTTGGGAGCCCAGTCCACATAGAGGGGTACTCTCTGAGCCTAGACACACAGGGGTGGGCCTAGGCCCTACCCCAAAGGATACGATAGACTCTGATGACCCCCTATTGAAGGCCTCACCCTCCAGGGGGAGCAGAAAGGATATGTGATAGGTAGGGTTTTAGTTGGAGGGGGGTGGTAGGGGAGGATGGGAGGGAGAGGGAACTGGGATTGTCATGTAAAACAATCTTGTTTCTAATTCAAATAAAAAAAAATCTGCAAAAGAAAAAATAAAACCCTTGTGACCTCCACTTAGTTTTCCCTGGCTTGAACTTAGCTGTCCGGTCAGCACTAGTGTGTCTGGTTGAGACCGAGAACAGATCCTAGGGCAGTGGTGGTTCTCAACCTTCCTAATGCCATGACCCTTTAATACAGTTCTTCATTTTGTGGTGATTCCCAACCATAAAATTGTTTCCGTTGCTACTTCATAACTGTAATTTTGCTGCTGTTATGAATAGTAATGTAAATACTTCTGAAGATAGAGGTTTGTCTTGGGATCTTGGCCCATAGGTTGAGAACCACTGACCTAGAGCCTTGTGCATACTAGGCAAGTACCCTACCACTGAGCTACCCCCCCAGCCCCAGTCATTGATAACTGAACATTTTCTATACTGGGGAATGAACTTAGGATCTTGGCATTTAAGCAAGGGTTCTACCGAAGAGCTACACACACCCCTAGGGCGCTTTTTACTTTTACATTTTGAATCAGGGTCTTGTTAAATTGTACAGACTGGTCTTGAAGTTAATTTACAACCGAGGCAGGCCTTGAACTTTCAAACTTCCCACCCCAGCCTTGTGAGGAAATGGGCTTACATGCCCTTGTCAGCAGGCCTGATCAAGTGGATATTTTATCTGGGTATATGGCTGTATACCAGACACAATCAGGTCTGCTAGAAGTAAGATGAGAGAAGGAATCAGGCCAGCGAGATCTTGAATTGAGATCTTGGCTAAGGACACTGGTCCAGCAAGTCACTGGGCTTTTTTTTTATGTTATTTTTTTTCTTTGACTCCATGCCTCAAGGTGGGCACAGCAGAGAACATCAGGTTTGAGCTGCAGGTTTCTGGGGACTTCGGTAGCTAAGGAGACTGAGGGATACTCTGAGCACACATACCCCTTGGGGTTCTCTCATCTTCCTAAGGCTGGAGGGATGAGTCAGTGGCTGGCTGTAAGGGATGGCTGTATGCTGTTGCTGGCAGCTGGCTTGTTGCAGTCCACAGCAAGATAATGACATCTTTCAGCAATCTCCCCTCCCCCACAGGGTACTGCAGAAGCCCTTGTCTTTCCCCAGGTTAGACCCAGCTTCCTCCATAAAGGACCTTTGATTACTCATCCTCCTGACCTAGGTTCTGGTGGGGCAGGCTCCTGCTAAATGGCCTCAACAAATGTAAACTCAAATTGCCTCTAACCAGGGTCTTCGGAGTGAGGAAGCCCACTCTACAGCATCAGCATCAGCTGGGAATTTGCCAAAAACACAAACTCTCACTCCCTGCCCCAGACCTGTGGAACATAAGCCTTGGGGTGCTGTAGCTTGTTTTGATAAGGTCTCTAGGTTCTGCAACTGACAGGCTCCAGAGTGTAAGAGCCCCGAAGTGCCGATGACTCTCAGCCTAGAGACAGCTTCTGCACTCAGAGCAGCCACGCCAAAGGCTGCTGGAAAAGAAATACGGGAACTACCCAAGCCTCTGTCCTTCAGTTCAGGCTGTAAAGACTCACTTTTCCCGACCTTCTTCGTTTTGAGACAGAAGTTGGCTGTATACCCTTTGCTGGCCTCAAACTTTCAATTTTTCTGACTTTGTCTTCCAAGTACAGAGTGGGACTACATGTGCCACCACACCCAGTTAAAGTGAAACATACATACATACATACATACATACATACATACATACATACATACATTTCAGGCTGGCCTCAAACTCTAGATTCTCCTGCCTCAGCTTCCTGCTGAGGGGAACATGGTAAAGGACCATAGAGAGGAGCACACAGGCCATTCTGTACTTCAGTCTAGACCAGAAGAGCCCGCTTTGAGAAGTGTGGGCCTCCTCCCCCATCAATGAGGTGTGGGCAGCTTATTCTGGTAACACAGGGCAGGGGCAGCGGGGCTGTTCTCATCCTCCTCTGCATCCAGTCCCCAGATACGAGGACACCCAAGAGGCTGAGGGGGTGGAGGCAGCTGGCATGAGCCAGGGATGGGGAATGGCTGAGGCATTGTGTGTGTGTGGGGGGGCAGAGAACCGGTCCAGATGGAGAAGCAAACGAGGCCGAAATGGCTGCAGCGCAGTGGTCCCTGACTCTGGCGTCCAGTCAGTCAGGCCCTAAATGAAATGTGCCATCCTGGATGAGGCAGGAAGGCTTTTGAGCAACAGAGAAAACAAGTTGAGTCATCAGCAGACAGTCTCCATCACAAACCAAGCCTCTGCATACACAGGATTGTTTGGCTTTATTTAAAAAGGAGCCAATGTCTTTCTTTAGCACTCACATAGAGTGGCCCCTGGCAATCAGACGTCATTTACACAACAGCCTTGAAAGTCACACCCGAAAGGCACACAACACAGACATCACACTTTGGGAAGCACGATCGATGGATCGCCCACACAGAATACATTTCTCGCGCGAAAGTCTCCTTTAAGAAAAATATCAATCCCAGGTCAGAAAGGAACCGGTGGCTCTGTCCTGGGAGGAGGGGCTATGTCTCCAAGGCAGCAGGGTGACCGAGATCCTTCAGGAAGGTATGACGCTGCCTGGGACACTGTCTGGGGCCTTCTCCACTGCTGAGAGACTTAAAGATCTGTCCTGTCGCCCACAGGTGGGGGCGAGCCACTGGGAACCTGGCCTGTCATCAGCACCCGCGGCCCCCACACAGACCAGTACACAAATAGCTGCAGGCCCACGCTGCTTCCAGCGTGCTGACAAGGGCTGCTCGCTCCTGTTTCTTCTCTTTATTATTTTTAAAGGAACAAAATTTGGAGTAAAAGCTGGGAGTTTTGGAAAACTTTTTCTGGCTCTTGAGAGAACAATGGCAAACTGGAGTGGAGAGAGGGTCGTCCCTAGGCTTTCTGTTGACTCTCACAGTGTGCAGGAATCAGGGCCCCTTCTGCACCAGGCGCAGGGTCAGCGGGGGAAGACAGGGCTCTCCCTAACCCGGTGGCTCAGGCATGTTCTCAGGCCCGGCTCATCACAGGGCCTGATTCTGGGCTAGCTCATGCTCCTTCAGACAAGGTCTAGAAATGCTACACCGACAAGGTGTGTGCGCGAGCGCTGGCGTGGTGATGAGGGCGAGGGACGCAATGAGGCAGGTGGGGGGAAGGTAATGTTGGGACTGACCCCAAAGGAGGGAGCAGTGGATTCTAGGCAGCAGTCTCAGTGAGGTCCAGGCAGGGCAGGGCAATTCCTGCATCAGGAAGTCCTCACCCACTGACATTCTTACTGGGGCACTTATGCAGGACTTCATCCTCACAGTCCAATTCTGGCCTTTCTCCCACCCCAGTCTGGTAGAATCTGCTGTCCAGAGGGCTGGGCTCCTTGGTGTCACAGAAGACAAGGACAAAGGCTCAGATGCTCAGCAACCCTGCTCTTCAGAGGGCGTGGCCTCTGAGCCTTGGTGGATAGTTGTGCTCAGGAGAGAGTGGTGGGGCCGAGGGGTGGGAGTGTGTCACTGAGGTCCTCTAGGTTGGTGGTGGGCTCCTGCCTTGGCATCTCCCCAGGCGGCTGGCGCAGTGGCTGGATGCGGGAAGCTGCTCCACGGGTTGCCATGGTAACCGGCCTCTTTTTTTTTTTTTTTTTTCCCAGCCAGCCAGGAGGCTCCAGGTGGGAGGCACAGGTTCGCTGCAGGCGCCGCCAGCGCCAGCGTGGGAGGCATGACTGGGCTGCTCGCCAGTCGCCTCAGGTACCGAGGGCTCGGGCAGGTGGGAACACTTGGCCTTAACAATCATCCTGATTCCAGAAATTTCTCTTTGGGTTAGAATCGCACATCCGAGGGCTGTGTGTAAGAGTCCTCACCTGGCCTCTCGCATCCTGAGCTTTCCCTGCAGGGTTAGCCGACTTCCAGGTTTCTTGGATTGGACTCGTAGCTTTCCCTGCCCAGGTCGCCCGCCTACAGCAGCCACATTCAGAGCACATGAGGGAGGAGGCCTGCAGTCAGGCCCAGCGCGAGCAGGGTCAGCAGGGGAACTCGGTGCACTGCGGCCACTGGGGGTGGAGGGAAGGGGGGGTGACAGGTAGTTAAGGCTAGAAGCACCCGGCCTGTGGGCGGCCAGCGTGGTGCTCACACACAGGCAGAGAGCGCTATTTCTGTGTGTCCCCCTAGATACAGTCTCTCTTCCTCTCCATGACAATCTTTCCTTTCTCTGGTTTCTTTACATATGCATTCCCTTCCAAATTATGGGGCATGCATATTTATGCTGTTACCTCAGATCCACTAAGAACTATCATTTTCAGCATTTATGTTCATGATCTCCATCTATTTGGGTGACAGGCCAGACCTCCTGACTCAGTTATCTGCAAGCCTCCCTGTTTGGACACTCCACCTTGATAGTGTGTGAAATAGGGACCTCTTTCTCTGCCTCATCGAGACGTGGGATACCCTTCAGCTTTGTCAAATTTTTGATTCTAAGCTCCCAGTGATGCCGGGATGTCTGGGCCCTTTCAAAGGGGCATTACAAGTGTGGGCACAGGAGGTCTGCTCCCCTACCTGCACCTGAGCACTGCTGAGAGAGCATCCCCTCCAAGGCGGCCACGTAATCGGGTCCCAGCCATTCCAGGTATGTGGTTTTCTTCCCAACAGGTATGGCTCGTACTGTAGCATCTTTGAAAAGCAGGTCTTGGCTGTGATATTTGGAGGAGTCAAACATTTGGAACCCATTCTGGTTGTGGTCATCTCCAAACAGGTCCTGGAAACACCAAAGGCAACTGTTATGTGTGGCCTTATAGAAAATCACAGCGGTCCCTAAGAGCAAGCATTTCAGGCCACCAAATCTTTCAGTTGAAACCACTGATGAGCCTCTGCCATAAAAGAAGTCTGGGAGAAGATTTGCATAGAGGCACCATCCAAAGGCAGCCAGAAATGTCACACCAGTTCTTGAATGCAGAACTGAAGTGTGAGATTTATAGCAAGAAGGACCCAGAAGAGAGGCGGTGCAGATGTAGTGGCTAAGGGCTTGGCTAGGCCTGCTCAACGTTTCTCAATCTTTTTGGCAGTGCTTTCTCGTCAATCTTACGGGCATCTTTTCCAATAAGCCGAGACAATCTCACAGATAGAGGCTTCTGTTCTGTCACCAGGACTAAGAAAATAGTGAAGGAGTTGATGATGTCATCACTCAACTCCATCAGTGTCCCAGGGGGTGATTCTGCTACTTGCTTCCCTGATGGGAATCCTTGGAGTGAAGGTACTTTGGACAGCCCTAACAAGCTGGAGTAAAATAAGACACAATGCCAGAAGCTGTAAAGCCAGCCAGGCATGGTGGCCTATGCTTATAATCCTAGGACTCAGGAAGTTGAGGCAGGAGGACTGAGGGTTTGAGGACAGCCTGGGATACAGATAACAGTGTGAACAAAGGACATCTGGAAAATATGCAGTGTGTGTTCACTTGTTAATAATCAAGGGGGAAGCAGAAAGTGCCATGGCCATCAGTCTTGGAGGGGACTTATAGATCCTCCTGAAGTAGATCCTAGCTCCAAAAAATGTCCATCCACACAGTATTCTTCCCCACTTCAGAGAACACGAGGGACCAGGCAGAGGAGCCATTGGCTCGAGGGAGTTGCTCTTGGAACAGAATATATATCATTCCAAAGTTTAGGGACAGACCAGCGGCTCTGCTAGTCTATGGTTCTGGTGGGTCAAAGGAGGGCGAATTTAGCCTACTAAATGGAGCTAGGAGGAGAGCCAGTCTGGTGTGGGGACCTGAGAGCCAATGGAAAAAGTGATTCTAAGAGGAGGAGGAAGTTCAGGAGGAGGGAGCTGCAGCCATCAGATCAGAGGCAATGAGGTCCTAGAAAGTGACCCTTGGATTCAGCAACATGGGTCATGATGCCCTTAAAAAGAGCAGTTCTGGGGACTTAGTAAGGTTTGTCTGGAGTAGTGTTACCCCCAAGAGAGACCAGGAGAGGAACTGGTGGCCCTATGTAGAGATAGCTTTGGAGGAGTTTTGCTCTCAAAGAAAGCAGAGGGGCACTCCCAGCAGGGGTGAGCCTGTGGGTTTGAAGTACCAGCCCCACACAACAGTAGCAGCAGTAGCCTGGAGCAAGTTGTAATTATCAGAGATGTGAGGCCAGGACTGCGAGTTTGCTACATGTAAATGGTGAGATGGCATGGCATGCTGGTCTGTTAGTGAGAATGATCCAGTTGAGAAGGAAAATGTATGATTCGGGAGACAGAAGAGATTATTGCTGGGGGAGTGAAAATCATACAATTGCCTCCTAGCCTCCTGGGTTTCTTATGAAGGTAAGCAGGAGCCATCTGGTGTGTGTGTGTGGGGGGGTTGGCTCACCACTGCCACCCACCCTCCCTGAGGTCACGCTAGCTTGGCTCACCTGGGCCTTGTCCAGAAGTCCATACACAGTGAAGATGTTGGTGTCTGGATGCACCATGACAGCTTGGGATGGCATCCGTGCCAAGTGGCAGGCTTGGAACTGACTTACTTCAGCCCGTGCCCCATTGGGGCATAGTAGCTCATAGTCTTGCAACTTGAGGTGAGCAGCCCAGGGCTCAGGATTGTGGCCTGCAAGACAGCATGGGGTGGGAAGAAGTGGGAGAGAGATCCTTGAGACCCTTCACCAGGTGGTAATACCTGGAGCGCTTCTCAGACACTGTGCTCTGCTCCATCGCAGGAGTGACAGAGCCCAGCTGGGTCACTGTGACAGGCATGGGTCACAGTCTCTGCCTATAACATGGGCAGGGTGGGGATTATCACCCCCACTTTTTTTTGTTGTTGTTTTTTGAGACAGGGTTTCTCTGTGTAGCTTTGGAGTCTATCCTGGCACTCACTCTGGAGACCAGGTTGGCCTCGAACTCACAGAGATCTGCCTGCCTCTGCCTCCCGAGTGCTGGGATTAAAGGCGTGTGCCACCACCGCCCGGCTATCACCCCCACTTTTTGACAAAACCAGGGCTCTTAATTTTTTTTTTGACAGGATCTTACAGTGTAGCCTACGCTGACATCAAACTATGATCCTTCTGCCAAAGTCTGCAGAGTGCTAGGATTACATGAGTGTGCTACAATGCTGGTGCCCTGGAAGTCGTGTCCCTCTTGTCTTTTGGTGTTCACTTAGCATCCGCCCTCCTCCCGTTTCAGAAGGAATACCAGGCAGGCTCCACATAGAGCTAAGGATAAAAAAGCAGCCTGGGAGGCTGGTATGCTATGGCAGCCAAATCTCTCCAACACACTGCCAGGTTTGGAGGACAAGGCAGAGCTGTCAGCTTATGCAGGGAGGCTAGCTCCCTTCCCTGGAAGGTGGGGCCTGTGGTTCTTGGTGGGAGCTGGGCAAGGAAGCAGGTATGACAAAAAGAAGGGCTTGAGTCCTGTGACCTCAGTGGCCTCTGGGGACTGCGGGTAGGATCTGAATTTCTAAATACTGATGTTTTTCCTGTGTGTCTTATTTGCCTTCTGGGCCATGGCTGTGCCCCTTGGGCTGTGTCTCTGTGAAGACAGTGGAAGGATGAAGATGACTAAGCCTGGTTTTTGGAATGTCAGAGCCTGAGGCACAGGAGGGTAGGCAAAAAGTGCAAGCATTAAGTGTTGTGGGCTCAAACCCCAGCCATTAACACAGATGTGACTTTTCCTCCTGAATGGGTAGGTAATGGGAGGTAAGAGGTACTGGCCTCAGGATCTCAGATGCAGCTTTTGGGGTCCTGGGGCTGAGAGTCTGGCTCTTCGGCTCCGGTGGAGACTGGGAAGGTGACTCCAGGAAAATCAGTTGTTTGTGTGGTGAACCTGGCTGGGCTTGAGTGGACTTCCCTGCACAGGACACTGACCTGCTCTTGACCAATGACCAGAGGAGAGGTCTTGCAACCCCCACCCACAGGCTTTAGCACCCCATGAATACCTGCAGGGGGCTGAGATGCAGTTACTGTATAGCAGTGGGATATGAACTTGAATTCTGGACCAAAAGAAGGCATCACAACATTGGGGCCTCTGGGTTCCCCAGGGCAGAACCTTCCAGACTCAGTCTCTCCTGGATGCTGCTCAATCTCCAAACCCAACAACACCCTGTGTCTGGGTTGTTCTGGACTTCGAACGGCCGGCCCTCCCTCCCACCCGTCTCTGCTCCATCCCAAGCCCCCTCAGGTACCATTTGTATTCTCAAAGACAGTTGTGTGCTTGATGAAGGCAACATCCCCTGCATTCTCCGAAAGACACCTGTCACACAGGAGAGCAGGGCAGACATCAGGAGAACAGTCCCGTCGGAAAGCCAGGCCAGAAGATCCCCTGCCCCACAGCAGCCACCAAGTACCTGAAGGCCCCGCTGTAGCCGTAGTATCTCTCCTGGCTGCTGCCCACACACTTGTTGTGGCCCTTCTCATCTCCCACGCACAGTGCACACAGCGAGGAAGGGTAGTTCCTAGGGTTGTTCACAGGCACACAACTGCCATTGAAGAACTCACTCACCGCTGGGGCAGAATGAAAGGATGTGATGAGGGCTGCAGCAGAAAGACAGCCAGGGAGGAGAAGGGCAGCCCCTCCCCCATCCCACTGGACTCCACCTGAACCTCCTCAGGGATGGGGAGGTCACTATCTCATGATCTTTCATTTTTTTAAATTAAATCTTTTTTGTTTTTGTTTTTGTTTTTGTTTTTTGTTTTTCCAAGACAGGGTTTCACTGTGTAGCTTTGGAGCCTATCCTGGCACTTGCTCTGGAGACCAGGCTGGCCTCGAACTCACAGAGATCCGCCTGCCTCTGCCTCCCGAGTGCTGGGATTAAAGACGTGCACCACCAATGTCCGGCTTAATTAATCTTTTAAAGATTTGTTTGTTATGTGTACAGTGTTCTGTCTGCAGGCATGCCAGAAGAGGGAATTAGGTCTCATTACAGATGGCTGTGAGGCACCATGTCATTGCTGGGAACTGAACTCAGGACCTTTGGAAGAACAGCCAGTGCTTCTAACCCTCTGAGCCATCTCCAGCCCCCTTATTCTCTTTTCTAGAGCAACTGCGTTTGTCAGGGGAGAGGGAACTGTCAATCCTAGTGCCCGTCTGTGCTTTGGAGTAAGAAAACTTTATTTTCTCTGAGTTACCAGCCAGGAGAGACGTGTGTAGCCAGTCAGCTCAAGCACCTCATTGGCTCTGGACTGTGAGAATATGGGAGAGCCTTGCATGAGACGCACAGTGGGCAGTTAGCAAGTGTTTCTTGTTCTGTCTCCATCTTAGCTTTTAGATATTTAGGCACAAAAATGCATGCCCTGCCACTTTCTAACAAGGTCCCCAAACGCTAGGAGATGCTAGGTGTGGGGACAACCCAAGCCCATTCTCATTCCCACACCCCTGTTTTGGTCAGTGTAAATTCTACTCAAGATTGAGTGTCTAGCACACCTAGACACACCATGAATGTGTGTGTGTGTGTGTGTGTGTGTGTGTGTGTGTGTGTGGAGGGGGCATCACATCTCCCAGGACCATGTCAAGAACAAGACCTATTAGGGTTGTTTCACAAGGCTCCTGACCCTGAGAGCTGACCATCTCCCCATAAGATCCCAAAGAACTCTGGGAGCTGTGTCCCTTAGACGAAGGTACCTGTGAGGACATCACAGTCCTTGGGCCGGATGAAGCCCCGCTGGATGAGGGAGCCTATGGGTACGTCCCAGCCTGCAGGGCTGCCCAAGCCTGGGTGGCAGGAGCGCTTGCTTCGTAGCTCATCCAAGGTGAAGGAGTAGGATCTGTCCCGCCGCACCACAGCCACCACAAAGTAGGAATTGCTCCTGTCCTCCTCTGCAGGGAGAGGGCATCTTGAAGAGGGTCCCTTATCAGGGCTGTGATCCATGCCTCAATTGTCCCCTCCTATTTCTCTGTCTCATCTTGGGGACCCTCAGGGAATAGCTGGTGTCTTCCCTCTTTGTTGGAGCACCCCAGGAGCCCTGCCCATGGTCTTTCTCACACCCAGGGGGCATTTTTCTCACTTTTTGGGAGAAAAGCAGGCTCAGCTGAGGCCTGCAGACATATTCACTAAGCCTAGAGATTTCTCACAGCCAAGTGGAAGGGACCAAATGTCCCAAGGTCAGTTCTTAAGAGGACAAAGGACAAAGTCAAGCCCAAACCACTGAGAAGGTGTGACTAAGTAAACCAGGCAGAGGGCTCCATGCAATGTGAGGGAGAGGCCAAGGACAAAGCCTTGCAAACTGTGATCTATACATACAGACTGGGTTGGCTGATGAGAAGGGCTTTTATTTTATTTTATTTTTTAAGATTTTATTTGTTTATTTGTATATGACATTCTGCTTCCATGTGTATCTGTACACCAGAAGAGGGCACCAGATCTTATAACGGATGGTTGTGAGCCACCATGTGGTTGCTAGGAATTGAACTCAGGATCTCTAGAAGAGCAGTCGGTGCTCTTAACCACTGAGTCATCTCTCCAGCCCCTGAGAAGGGCTATTATAGGTGTTAATGGGGAATTTGAAAATCAGAAGAATATGCAACAGACACTGGCTGGGCTCTGCAAAGGGTACTTGACCCTGCCCAGAAAGTTCTCAGACCTTAGAGGTGTGCACTGGTAACCCAGGACTGGGGGAGGAGGAGCTTGCTCGCTACAGAAGGCTGGTAGAAGGCCCAGAGTCGCCAGGCTGGGGAAATGCACTCACCGGCATACAGCTCCCCAGCTGCCGGGACCAGGCTGTACCCCTTTCCTGCTGTGTAAATGTCCTCGCCTTTTAGAGTCACAGCATCAACATGCCCAGCCTGCAGGGAACAGAGAGACCCGATATACTTCCGGATGGCAGGAATCCCTGGAAATAGCAGGGCTTCTCCCCTCTTGGGGGAAAGGGGTTTGTGAGCTCTGCCTCTTTTCTTTTGGGAGTCACCGTGGTTGGGGAACTTCCCTTCTGTTTCTGCCCCATTCCTTCCTGCACTCGTGAAGATGCCAGGCCCAGAGGTTGCTGGTAGGCTGAAGAGAAAGGGCAGCCAATACAGGCGGGGGCACTCCAGTTCCTGGCAACATTAGTTTTGCAGGGCATGGCTGCCGAGATTCTCTCGCTTCCCTGCTCTGTCTAGCACTACCCTTGCCCCACTGCTTGTTCCCCAGGGACTGCCAAATTCCAGAGGCACAAGGTCTCTTTACTCTTACTGGGTGGCACACTGACGGACAAGATTCACCTGCAACGGCGAATGGCCCTAAGATTAGAAGATGATGATCCTCGGGCCTCAGGAGGATTTTCCCCTGAGTGTTAGGGACTCCGAGAAGGCAGCTGGCAGCTCTTCTCTCCAGCTACCCTGGACCCTTCCTTCCAGGTCACCCACGCCCCCATCCCACCTGCCCAGTCTGAAGCTTTTTAGCCCTAGCCTAGGTAGCTAGGATCCTAGAAAGGGGGTGTGTGGCAATAAAGCCACAGGAATATGATAAACCCCAAGAGAAGCGCCAGGCTGGAGAAAGAGGGGTCTGGCACCCTATGAGGGTGCCATATGCTATGTAACCCTCAGGTGTGAGGAGGTAACAGTGGGGTAGCAGACATTTGCCCCAGCGAGTGTAACTCTAAGGGGCTTCTCTTTACTCAGAATTCCTCACACCTTCTGCGATACCAAGGAGGACACAGCCTGAACCCATAGCCCAGGGCTCAGTCACTGTGGAATTCAGGAAAGGGAAGTGAACGCCACACTGGACAGCCACACTGGACATCGTCTCCAGAGCCTGGGAAGGGGAACTGCGGCTCACTGGGCTCTTGCTGGGTTTCTGAGGAGGCCTGGGGGCAGCCTCTGCTCATCTCTCCACAGGCCTGGGTATCCCTTGTCTGACATGCTCCTCTGAAGGCTGAGGGGAGGAGTCTCCAGCTGAGAGGCAGCTGACTCTGCCCTTCCCGTCTCTTTGTGCCCGTGGCATTTGGAAAGAGGTACCCAGCAAAGGCCAGTCTGCCAGGCAGCAGGATAGAGAAATCTCCTCCCAGCCTCCCTTTGCCTTAGTGTCCAGCTGAGGAAGCCAGGAGGTCAGACTAGATGGGCCCTGGGTTTTCACTGTGGACCAGTGGGTACCAATACACCTGCATGGATCATAGAAAGCGCTTAGGGAAGAGACTAAAGCAAACAGTAAAAAGAAATGCTGCTGGGTGGTGGCACACGCCTTTAATCCCAGCACTCGGGAGGCAGAGGCAGACAGATCTCTGTGAGTTCAAGGCCAGCCTGATCTACAAAGCGAGTTTCAGGACAACCAGAGCTGTTAAACAGAGAAACCCTGTCTTAAAACAAAAAAGAAAGGTCAAGCATTCTTTCTACCCCTTTATATGCAGGATGCATAGTTTTCATACATTCCTATTAGAAGTCTTTTGTGCACTAATCCCCAGACACAATGAAATCTGTTTCTGAGTGTGGGCTGCCTCAGAAACATCTAGAGAAGGACAATGCCCCACTCTCACCACGTACAGGATATAAGGGCTCAGGCATTATGCTGGCTTGCCCCTGTCGCCTGGCAGAATGCACTCAGGCAGTATCCTGGTCAGTCCTGGCGCAAAGGACCCCTTTAAAAGAAAGACCTCTGCGCACTTACACTCTCTTCCTGCTCTCTCATTTCCCTCTCTTTCCCGCTGTTCCCCTGGGGCAGACAGGACTTTTCCTGTCTCCCTCTTCTCTTCTGTCCTCTGCCCGGGCGGGCGTGGTCAAGCACACCTGTAGCCAGCCCTTAGGAGGCGTGGTGTCTCCCTACACTCTGTCTCTGTGTCTCTTTACCTCTTACCCCCCTTCCCTTTCTAATAAAACTTCCCACTTAAGCTCTGTCTGCCTGACATGTTTGTCCCTCTACCTCGCCCACCCTCGCCTGCCACGGAATCTGCCAAGCGTCCCCACGCACTTTTCCTAACCCAGGGGAAACGGAGGTTCAGAAGGGAGAGACTTTCTTAGACCCAAGGTCTGTTCCCAGCCAACTGTGCTCTTTCCCCCTCCCTTCCCCTGTGAGCTTGTCACTGGATCTCTGTCTGTGTCCTGCCCCCTCACCCCCCTTTGGCCGCTGTGCACTGGGATGGGAGGTAAGGACCCTGCTCCGTGCTGGTGCCGCCTCCTCCCTGGCCCACTCCACCTGGATCTGTTCCATGCAGTGCTCTGGGGACTCAGCCGACACACACTGGATCTCTGGCTTGAGTCTCTGCCGGCTGAAGGCCACAGCCATATCTCCGCACTTCTGGATCTCGGGTGTGGACAGCACGCACCAGCGTAGGTAGTGGGGCAGCCCTGTGTAGGGAACACGTGGGGGCGGGTACTTTAACAGGGAAATTCTGGGTCTCTCTCTTATTAGCCATGTGACCAGGATGCTATTTAACCACTTCCTCACAGGGAAAGCTGTGAGACAGCTTGAGGCAGACTGGCTGCTGTGTATGGAACTCAGTCTGGCTTGCTATTTCCTTGGCCGTAGGTGGGAGGGAGATCCATAGGAGGAGGGCTGGAGGAAGGGAGTCCACTTATAGACTACTGCAAGAGATAACCTGAGTCCTTCGGGTAACAAGAGAGGAGCAGGAAGCTGTGGAATGAGAGTTGACAGAACTCAATAGTTCTAAAACAGGCTCCATGACCTGGGTCCCAGACGCCGGAGGGTCTTCCAGGGTCTCACAGGTCACACACTACAGGACCGCTGGCTTCCTCCCCAAACCTCTAAGCAGCAGCAAAGTAGAAGTGACAGATTTCTGCAGGGGCCACAGGCACGTGCCAGGCTGCCTGGGTAGCTGTCCTGCCCTGGCAGCCTCATAGAGAAGCCGGCCATGTTGTATTTAGGCAGAGGTGCAGCTGGCAGGGGCAGGGACAGGCGGACTCACGGTTGGGGTCACAGAGCAGTCCCTTCATGGCTTGCAGGTATTCCTGGCCCAGCCACGCCTCATAGCTCTGTGTGGCAATGGGCACGAGCTCCAAGGTGGAATCTTTGAATAGCAAGTTCTTCTGGCCGTAGGCCTCGGAGCTGAACATCTGGAAGCTGCTGTCCTCACGGCTGAACAGAATCTGCGTGTCAGGGGAGAAGCAGCGGTGAGGGGATTTCAGGCTACATCCCTTCCTCCCAAGTTCAGTCACCCGAAGCTCCTCCCTGCAACCTCAGGCCGGGTGTCCTCTCTGCCAGTTCTCCACATCGCCTTTCCTGACACTATGTTTCCTCCGTGCCCCTCCACTTTTGCCCCATCAAACCCCTCCATTTGAACACGGGGCGCACGGCCCAGGTTGAGACGGCTAGGAGCACGAGTAATGACTGGGCGGTGACTGACACAGCAGTGTCTCTAACGTCGTCCACCAGTTGAGCATGCTTGTCCTCTTCTTGGCCCACAGCTTGTGGTTTTGACCTTCAGAGGCACGTGCAAGAAGGGTTTCCACTGAGGGGTGCTGGGACTCTGAGGGGTGCCCACGCTCTGGCTCTCCTCCATTCCTGCCATCTTACAAAGTGCTCCCCCTTTTACACTGAACTAACTGCTGGCTCCTGAACTAACTGCTGGCTCCGTTAGGTCTGTCCCAGGGGAGTCCTTGGAGACCTTAGCCCAGAGCGCCTCTCAACCCCCACCCTAAGGGCCCGGTGCTGCCTGGGAGCTTTCAGGGCACAGCATTTCCTCCTCACCTGGCCTTCATTGAGCAGCTGGAATATGAGGCCCCCATTCGTGTCATCCCTGACCACCACGGCATGCGCAGGCACCCGGGCCAGGTTGCATTGTCTCCACTCAGTGACATCGGCCCTGCTGCCATCCCTGCATAGCAGCTGGAAGTCCTGTGACATCAGCGCCTTGCCCCAGGAGGGCAGGGTTTTCCCTGGAAGGTAGGGACTGGGGAGTCAGCTCCTATGCTCCTAGAGGGTGGGGGGCAGTGCGGTATGGGAGAGGGGCCTGGAGGAGGCTGGGCGTCTTGGTGGTGGGGATCTAGCATTGGCAGTGAAAGCTCTTCAGCCGTACAGACCGCCTTGGATGCATACTGTCCACCTCTCACAATTTCTGTTAAGATAATGAGCCGAGCGGTGGTGGGCACACGCCAGCACTCGGGAGGCAGAGGCAGGGGATCTCTGTGAGTTCGAGACCAGCCTGGTCTATAAGAGCTAGTTCCAGGTTCCAGGACAGTCTCCAAAGCTACACAAAGAAACCCAGCCTCAAAAAAAAAAAAAAAAAAAAAAAAAAAGTGAGGTAGCTTGCCATAATACAACACACATGAACATGAGTACTTAAAAATGTTAAGAGGAGCAAGAACCTAGAGTTGCTTAGCGTGGAAGAGCTAAATGTAACAAAGTAGGCAGGGGTGGGGACAGGGGTGGGGAAGACACAGCAAGCCACCTGACAGACTCTCCTCAGAGCTGTGGCCTCCATAGAGAAGGGTAATTAATTCTCTAAGCTTTTCCCAATGGGCCAAATGTTACTACTTTGGTTGGTTTTCCCCTTAAGGTCTTTTTTCTAATTCACTTTCTATTTCTCTTTTCTAAGCCCTTGAACGTAATTAAGCACATAGTTAATTTTGCACACTACTTTTTCACATATATCTATATTTTCCACATTAGTTTCATAAAGTCCGTGTTTCTTTTGCAGATTTTGAAAGTATTTTTGTTTGCATCTATCTGTGTCTGTGTGAGTGGGCAGTAGCCTGTGGAGGCCTAAAGAGGGCATCTGATCCCCTGGGGTTACAGTGCTTGTGAGAAGACTGATGACTGATGTCTCTGCTGGCACCGGAACTCAGGTCCTCTGGAAGAGCAGCAAGCGCTCAACTGCTCAGCCATCTCTGTTCCCAGTTTCACACATTTCTTAACAGAAAAACTGTATTTATTTGAGAGATTGGCAACAATACCAAATAGGAGTATAATAAAAAGTCATATTAAGGACTTAATGTCCTACCTAGTGATCGTCCATGACCACTAAACCTTCCTAACACTGTGACTTTAGTACAGTTCCTCACGTTGTGGTGAACCCCAACCCCCACCCAAAAATTACTTTCATTGCCACTTCATAACTATAACTTTGTTACTGTTATGAATCGTAATGTAAATATCTGATATTTCTGATAGTTTTGGGAGACCCCTGTGAGAACCGCTGCTCTAAGCTCAAACAAGGGGACTCTACTAGGGAGTGGGAAGGCAAAGGCAACCTATGTGGCCACAGAGCTAGCAAAAGCCAACCTCTCAGGCCGCAGGCACACCCAGCAAGGCCATTTCCATTCACCACACAGGCACTTACAGCAACCTCAGCATCACATGGGGCGGGGCAGGTCTCTCCTCATCCCAGCCTCTCTCCACTTCAAGATGAACAGCTTTCAGTATCATTAGTCTAAGAGCCAAGCATGCATTTTAGGCCTCTATTTACCCCTCAGCTGCCAGGGATGAAGTCCCATTATGTCATTGCTCAAGACAATGTTGATCCTGCTGTTTTTTGTCTTAACAGTTTACAGAAAGATCTTTCTTTCTTTGGTGTGTGTGTGTGTGTGTGTGTGTGTGTGTGTGTGTGTACGTACAGGATCTCTATATATATCCGTGGCTGTCCTGAAATTTGCTATTTAGACCAGGCTGGCCTTGAACTCACAGAGATCCACCCTGCTTCTCCTTTGCTAGTGCTGGTATTAAAGATGTGCTCCACTATACCTGGCTCATGAAGACGTTTCTTAACTACTTCTTTAGGAATCGTTAGGTTACTGCTCAGACTTAAAAAAGAAACCAAACAGCAACAACCACACACAAAACAAAACAAAACAACAATAATCTGGGGCTGGAGAGCTGGCTCAGCCGTTAAGAGCACTGGCTGATCTTCCAGAGGATCAGGTTCAATTCCCAGCACCCACAAAGCAGCTCATAACTGTAATTCCAGCTCTAGGGGATCTGATGACCTCTTATGGCTTCCTTGGGCACCGGGTATGCAAATAACGCACAGACACACATTCAGGCCAACACTCGTGCGTACATAAAAATAAAAAAAATTCAATGCTGATTCAAACTCAACACATCCCTGTTCTTTTGCTCTCCTTTCAAATTCTCCTTTGCCTAACCCATCCTGGGGACTATATGAAGGACAGTTCATTTTGTAGTACTGTCATGTCTGGAAGACAGTTCTTGGTGCCTTGTCCTTTACTAGATGGCTTTCTGTCCTTTATTAAATCTGGTTTATGTCTGCCTTCAAAAGTTTAGAGTACATAATGGATTCAAATGACAAGCATTAAAGCCACGCCCAGAAGCTGTAGGTTATTAAATGAAAATCCCAGTGCCAAGGTGGGGCTGCCTCCCTATGGGAGCCCCCCCCCCAGGTGCCCCAAACAATATAGGTTATCTGCAGTGCTGTTGGTTGCCTACCAGGAGTAGATGGTCAGACCCTATTGATGAAGCCAAATGCTTTGGTTGCTGGACATAGAAAAATCAAACTAGACGTGAGTTGGAAGCTTCCTTCTGGCTGAATAGCTTTCATAGTGCTACACAGATACTATGTAGAAGAACTGTCATGGATATTGTTACCCAGCTTTAGCCTCTGCATACAACACTACTGACTTGCCAGGCAAGAAATGCCTATGAGCACAATTGTGGTATGAACACTAGGCGGGTAACCAACCACTTTCTGCTTGGGTTTGAGGCCTGCTCCACAAGAGGGAATTCATGTCTCAGCAGTAAACCCAGTCAACAGCCTGCGATCTGGGAGGTCAGAGGTCCTAGTGGAGAATGTACCACTGTTTTGCTAAATGGACATACTATGCCTGTTGAGCGGCTTCCTAATGTTTGTGTTTGTGCCCATAGATTAGCGTGCCACTGCCAGTGTGGTCAGGGAAGCCTCTTTGTTCTGTGGGCAGCAGCACTCATAACTGGTCCCATAGCCAAGAATAAACAGCTGCTGAGTGTTCAGCCATGAATGGGAAGGAATTCAAGAACCAGAGGAAGGGGTGGGTGCTATGAAGTGCTGTCTTCCTGCCATTGGTGTGGCCATCGTCCTCTTAAACTGAAAGCAACTGTGACTGCAAGCACAAGACCTTTGCCAGACTGGGCCCATCAACATTTTGTCATGGAGTAGGAGGGGCTCTCAGCTCTGATCCCCCTGGCTCCATAAGCAGTTATGATTACTGAGGGAGGTGGGGGACAGTTTTTCTTCAGTGGTGTGGGCACTGTAAATTTGCCCATACCCCTGTAAGTAACTCCTCATCTATGCTCCCATAAGCAATCCTAATTAAAACTCACTGGTTAAAAAAACTACAAGGAGGAGTGAATTAATGACAATATAGTTTATACAAGAGAGCAGAGGGATGTCGCATGTCCCATGTCAGGGAGGAGCTTGTTCACTGTAGGACACCCATTAGACCCTCTGTATAAATTGTCAAGTCACTGAAAAAGGAATACTGAATGACAACACCCATACTACAACGTTGACTGAAAAAAACAAGGGGAAATATAAATTTTGTCTGTCTATCTCTCTCATGTTTATGGGCTTTACATGCATTTATGTCTGTGCACCATGTGTGTCTGGTGCCTTGGAGGCCAGAGGAGGACATCAGATCCCTTGGAACTGGAGTTATGGGTAGATACAAGCCAATGTGTGGGTGTTGGGATTTGAACCCAGGTCCTCTGGAAGAGCAGTGATTTCCACAGCCCCTGGCTGTACATATTCTTTATTTTTTGAGACATGGGTTCATTATGTAGCCTTGTTTGGCCTGGAATTCGCTATGCAGACAAGGCTGTTCTTGAATTCCTGAATGATGGGAGTAAAGGCATCACCATGCCTGGCTTGGCATTTTTAATGCTCCAGTGCTGGATAGTTACTGAGTGTTGGACAGTGTTTACATAATTAAACATGGCATGTGTCTTAATTTTTTGTTTTGTTTTATTTTTTGAGACAGGATTTCTCTGTGTAGCCCTGCTGTCTTGGAACTCACTCAGAGAGATCCACCTGCCTCTGGCTCTCAGGTGCTGGGATTAAAGGTGTGCACCACCACTGGCACTTGTTTTGATTTTTAAAAAGAGTCAATTATTTAAAGCAGGAAGAGAAGGAGGAGGGGGAGAGAAACTGTGACGGCAGCTGGACATGCACACATGCCCACAATCCCAGCACTTGGGAGAACAAAACTGAAGGATTTATAGCCTAGGTTACACTTACGTTTATTTTATTTTTGCTTAACTCACTTCGGAATCTACATTCTGGACAGTTCTTTTGTACTTTAAGACCTTGTTGACACCCCCCCACACATACTCCCCCCCAAATACCCCTCCAAACAACAATAACAAAAACAAGAAACACAACCCCAGACAAAGAGAATAAGTCTCCCACACCCTGGGCCAGGCAAAGTCAGGAGTGGCCATGGGGGTGGGGGTGGAGGAGGGGAGTGGGAGCCCAGCAAGGTTTTACTTCAGTCCACACTTTGATTGTGGTACTTCAAAACAAGTAAATCTTGCTACATATAATTTCTACTTCAATTTAGGGAGGAAAAAAAACAACCCTTTTACAAATCCAAATTAAAGGGCAGTTGCGTCATGTCTGTAATCCTATCACTTGTGGCAATCCTGCCTCAGCCATCCAAGTGCTGGGATTACAGGCGTGGCCCAAAGTTCTAGAGCTTAGCTGCTACAAAATTAAAAACAAAATTAAACCAACACATCCTGGCAACCCATCTTCAGCAAGACTGTCCAGGAACAGGCCAGTCTTCTCCCGGTCACAGGGGACACCAGGAAGGGACTGGGTAACCCGCAGTGTCTGGTGCAGGGCTGTAGACTTAAGTGGTCATGGACAGAACCCATTTATTTTCACACTCAGAGCAGAGCCTGGCTTGCCCCCACCCTTGCCGCACCAAGCAGTTGGAATGCTGCTGGTGAGACCGCCTGCTGCCTTCTGTAGACGGGGAGCTAAGGTACAGAGACCATGTGCCTTGTCCAGAGTCCCCCGGAGAGACTCAGAGCAGCACTGAACCAGACTGCTTGCTGCCATCTGGGACCAACTTGGGCAGCTGAGCCTGGTCCCCCCCACTCACCATCCGTGTTCTCCAGCACCGTGCTGTGCTTCACAAAGGCCACGTCACCAGCTCCTTCCGCCAGGCACCTGTGTGGGAAAAGCCATGAGCCTGGGGAGGGCACTCTGGCCACACAGTCCCCCCCATCTTCTACCCTGGAAGTTTGACCAGTGCTGCAGGGGATGACCCTAGGAGGCATATATTTTTACAGTTCCGCAGGTCTGAGACTGTTGGCTGTGTGGCTTTGCCAAGTTGTGGACCCTTCTTAGGTCCATCATAAGGACTCTGAGCTTGAATGCTCTCTCTCTCTCTCTCTCTCTCTCTCTCTCTCTCTCTCTCTCTCTCTCTCTCTCTCTCTCTCTCTCTCTCTCTCTCTCTCTCTCTCAAGATAGGGTTTCTCTGTGTAACCCTGGCTGTCCTGGAACCATGGACCAGGCTGGCCTTGAACTCATATAGAGTCATATAGAGTACTAACAGCCTCTGCCTCCTGTGTGGCGGGATTAAAGGCAGGCGCCACCAGGCCTGGCTATTAGTGGTCTCTTACAGTCAGTGAGGGTCCTGTAGTGCCTTCCTTGGCCTGCTATCTGAAGCCCAGACACCCATCACATTCTGAAGATGACTCCTCTGACCCAGGGGACTGGACTAGGAGGCCTTTCATGTGGTATCTAAATGTGGAAAGTGGACCTTGACTTTCATCTAGTCTCCCGATATGGGAGGCAGGTTGGGAACTACTGGGCAAAGGGGCTCTTGGGTCCTCACAGCCAGATAATAAGTAGATAGGGCAAGGGACAAAGTAGGTACCAGATCACGGAGATCTCTGAGGGCATAAGGTATAAGGGACAGATAGCCAGGGACATGGGTAGGTAATAAGGACTGTGTCCTCTCCCTGTTGTAAAAATTGCTCCTCTTGGTCACCATTAAGCCCCCTCCCCCCCAGGAAGGGACACTGGGGCTGGGAATTCTCTTGCAAGAAATGGGATGAGACTCTCTCTTGGGTCATGAAAGGCTGAAGTGCCAGTCAGGACCAGCATAAGGCAAGGCCCTCCCTGGTGGTCAGACATCAGAATGGGGGCCAGGGAACAGCCTGAGATGTTTTTTTCCATTCTCTTTGGTCAGAGCCCTTCTTTTTCTAAATACACCAAACATGTTGACTTTGTGAGCAAATCCAGCCTGGCACCTTCCGGTTTCGTGTTTATAAACTAGCCAGGAACAGCTCTTGCACAAAGGGCTTTTTGATGCCCTATAGCCCACACAGTCATTCCCCACACCACACCCTGCCCCAGTCCCCTCACCTGAAGGCCCCACTGTAGTCATAGTATCTCTCTAGGGGGCTCTTGTCACACACATTGTGCCCAGTGGAGTCACCACGGCAGAGGCGACAGAGGGACTCAGAGTAACTGGTTTCTCCTGTTCCAGGGACACAGCTGCCCCCGAAATAGTCACCGACAGCTGTGGGAAGGAGCAAAGAGAGGTCACCGACCCCACCCTGGGAAGTCAGGAGAGGCATCAGCCCACAGTCTCCACCTTCCAGCTTTAAGTGAAGAAACATGTTTTACTGATCACGCCAGTATTCCCAGACTGGACCCTCGGACGTGGGTGGGGCTGTTGCTGTGGCTGGGAAATAAGATGTTTTCTATAAATGTCTTCATAGGACAACTGAATGCAAACCGAATTCTGTGCGCACTGAAGAGTTTTCAAATCAGTGACCAGCAGTCTCACCAGAAGAGGGGAAAGTATTGAAGAGACCCTGGGTCGTCAAGGGGTCTGACCCACTCACTAGTCTGCATTTTTTTTGTGTGGATTTTTTTTCATCAGTAGGAAGGCCCCCAGAAGCACTCCTTTCACAAATATTTGCCCTCCCAACTGGTAGACCACCCACCCTCAGCCACCCTGAGAGGCTGTGGCTCTGGGTTCTCCCAGGTTGTCAGTTACACTACGGCTGGGTTCACAAGCCACTCGGGGGTCTTATGGGTGAAGTCAGTAGCTTGTCTGAGTCCCAAAAATGTAGTTTCTGATCCTGTAGAGCTCGGGACACATGTGCAGACAGAGGCCACCCTCATCAGGTTGATGTCTTCTTGGTTGTCTTCCTCCACCTGGCTGTGTTACGTGGGACACAGGGATGGGCAATGTGCTCTGAGGAGCCAACCAGCCAGAAACTCAAACGGAGGCCACCAGGAGTGGAGGGAGTGGCTGCAGTGGCTGTAGTAGGGGAAGGCTCTCATGGGAGGTGGAGCTTTGCGGCTTCCAGGGGGCATGGGGTGAGAGTGATCCTTGACACTTGAGCAGACTAAGTCAAGGAAGGAGGGACTGAGTCAGGGGCGGCAAGCTGGGCCAGAAGTCCTCACCTTTGAGCACGTCGCAGCCCATCACTGAGAGATGGCCACTCTCCACCAGGTAGCCAACAGGCACGTTCCAGCCCACAGTCCGGTTGATGCCTGTGTGGCAGGACTTGACTCCCTTGAGGGTGTTGATGGTCACATTGGAATCCCTCCTGACCACAGCCACAGCGTAATAGGAGGTCCCAGCGTCTAGGGAGGAGATGTAAGGCGTGAGGACAGCAAGGAAGGAGGACAGTGGCGACCCCAGGAAAGGCTGTGGAGATTGTATTCAGTGCACAAGCTGCCTCTGATGGGGGCACTGAAGGGTGTGTACATACGGGCACCTTGATCATCAGGCACCTGCCCATTGGGTTGCACCTAGTTCTGCCCCAGGCACTGCCCTTCAGTAAGGGCCCAGTGGACAAAAGTTGGGGTTATGCTGTCGAGCCACCCAGGAAGAAGAGCTGACTCGGTCAACTTTGTGTCCCTGGGTCTCCCACCTGAAGGTTTCAAGAGAGAACTAGGAAATTCTCAAAAGGGCTTTCTTCCTGGACCCCCAGAAGTATTCTGTGGACAGAGCTGGTGACCAGCTTGGGGACTTCAGGGTCACATGGCCAGACTGGTCTGTGTGTGGGGTCTTTGCTTCTTCCCGCACCATGCCCCTTACCTTGGTCATATACTTCACCCACCACTGGCTTCAGGCCATATTCCTTCCCTGCCTCATAAATGGCTCCTCCATCCAAGGTGATGGCATCAGCTTTTCGGTCCTGATGAGAGAGTGAGGGTCACCCATTCCAGCCGTGGGCCCACTCAGCCAGAACTCAGTGACACCCACAGGCAGTCAAGGAGTATGGGAGGTCTTCGATGCTTTCACCTGACCTAGGAGCCGTATCTTATCTTGACCCTGCCCTATGGGCCCAGGACTTCCCCCTTTGGCAGGCTCAGAACTCAACTTGGCTTTACCACATTTGCTCTTCACAAATATTAGTTACTAATTTTACAGGATCATGACAGACACAAATAGTGGAACACCAGGAGACACAAGATGGAGCTGTGTCACAAAGCATCTCTTCACTGTGAGGCTATTGGCCTCTTGCCCCGATTCCCAACCAGACTCTACCTTCCAAGAGAGTTCACACAGGCTGAGAGAAACTGTCATTCATTGCTGCTGGCTTCTGCCCTCATAGGGTTGGCCCCACTACTTGATTAGTTCTCAGAGGCCTCTTGGGGGCCAGACTGCAATGGAGACACAGTACCTGTCTTATGGCAACTATCTTCTTCATCCTGTCCTGCCTCTGAGAATGGTTGATGGCAGTTTAATGGGTCTCCCATCACCAAGACGTGCCTTTCCATCTCATAGTTACTCAGGACCCTGGAATGGGGGTTTCTTCTCTAGGAACCTCATTCTGGAAAGCTCCATGGCATTGAGTGACCGCCATGGGCCATGGAGTCACTGTGTTGGTTAGGTTTTCTCCCCCCCCCCCTTGAACTTGACACAAGCTACAATTACCTGAGAAGAGAAAACCTCAGTAGAGAAAACACCTTCATCAGATTGGCCTGTGGAGCATTTTCCCTTCCTTCCTTCCTTCCTTCCTTCCTTCCTTCCTTCCTCTCTCTCTCTCTCTCTCTCTCTCTCTCTCTCTCTCTCTCTCTCTCTCTTTCTTTCTTTTTGGTTTTTCAAGATGGGGTTTCACTGTGTTGTATAGCCCTGGCTGTCCTAGATCTTACTTTGTAAACCAAGTTGGCTTTGATCTCACAGAGATCTACCTGCCTCTGCCTCCTGAGTGCTGGGATTAAAGTTGTGTACCACCATGCCCAGTTGGAGCATTTTCTTGATTGATATGGAAGGGCCCAGTGCACTGTGGGCAGTGGCATACCTGAACAAGTCATAGGGAACAAGCCAGTCAGCAGCAGCCTCCATGGCCTCTGCATCAGCTCCTGCCTCCAGGTTCCTGCCCTGACTTCCCTTCTTGTTTTTGTTTTTTGAGACAGGGTTTCTCTGTGTAACAGTCCGGTGACTTCCCCCTTCTTGATGGACTACAAGAAATAAACTCTTTTCCTTCCAAGTTGCTTTTGGTCAGGGCGTTTGTCACAGCAGTAGAAAACCAATCTAGGACAGTCACTACAGCTTGTGCTCTCCCCCAAGAGTGGATAGCATCCTTGTCCTAATCATAGAAGGAAAATCCTACAAGAGGATTTTCTCCACTTCCTGTTTTCCCCAGCGGTACCTAACTGGGCTACAGCCCCTGCCCCCTCCCACCTGCGAGGATAAAGTTAGACAGCTTGCTGCTGGGGAAACTCGGGAGATTGCATCGAGCAGCCTTGGCAGAGGGACAGTGGCCTCTTTCCCAGTGAATGGGGTTGTTGTGTGCTCCTCCTGAGTCAGATCCCTCTTGTCTGGGCCAGGGGTGGGGAACAGGCAGAAGGGAGAGGCGTCACCTTGATGAGCTGGACACAGTGGTCAGCAGAGGTGCCCTCGACGCAGAGGAGGGAAGGCTGGATGCCAGCTCCCTGGAAGGCCTTGCTCATGTCTTTGCATTTCTGCTGCTCCGGGTTTGAGATGGTGCACCAGCGCACCTCCGTCACACCGAGGCCTGTGGGGCAGAACAGTTGACATCATTTCATCACCTATCCAGCAGTGGTGACCCCACCAGCCTGTATGGCCAGTCCCCTGACACACAGATCTGCACTCCCACTCCGCTTGCGGATGGGTGGCTCAGAACCTTGCCAGCTACTGAGCAGTGGAAAATCCCTGCGATGGGGCTCAGACTGAGGGAGTGCTGGGCCCACGGCTCTGGGGTGGACAAATTCCTGGCCTTCCAAAAGAGGTACTGGCCCAGGGTCCCACCTCAGCTCTGTCCCTGCCTTTCCCCTGGCAAACTGGACCTCGTGACTGAGCTGGTAGCTGTGGGTGCCCTGCCTTCTGCGATGGGGGCAGAGTCAGGTCCCTGTCTCCGGAGGCTGAGGAGTGGGTGGGTGGATTCGGGTTTTTATTCCCTTAATGGTCAGGGGACTTATTAGTATGTGAGAAGCCCACCTTCAGCGTTGGAAGTCAACTATGCAGAGCAAGACACACAGGTCCTCCCTGGGCTTCCTTCTGTGTCCCTTGATCTGATCAGGTCAGAGTCCTAGGAGCACCCCAAGTGGGGACCCGGGGGGGGGGGGCTGATGACTTTGCAACCGGGATTCTCTCGAGGCCTATGCTTGGGGGAAACATCTGGAACTTGCTTTTGGGATGTTTGTCTGGGGGCCAGGTCCTTTCTGCTGACAGCCTGCACTCTATCCTCACCAAAGGTCATCACCTGGACATGCCACTGCCTTCCTCCACTATGGGAGCACTCGGCTCTCCTTCTTACCCTCTTTACCCCTCCTCTGCTTCAGGGCTGCTACATCCCCTAAGCTCCCTCCTGCCTTCTGCCCCAGACAGGCCACACCGGGACTTATTCCCTAACATCCGGCACGCAGTTTCGAGGCCTGGCTCAAGGCTGCCTCCTCCTCGAAGCCCCAGGGACTTAACTGTTTTCTCCCCTCCCCACGCCTCCCCGCTATGGTAGGTGCGAGGGGACCGCAGCAAAGTTAAGCGCAGCGCGGCTCTGCACACTACCCTCCCTCGGGGATACTCTCACCAGTGCGCAGAGACAGGAGCAGCAAAAGAGCCACGCTCAGGAGCCTCATGGCAGCGTTGGGTTGGCAGTTGGGTTGGCTGGGGTCCAGGCAGATCCGGCCTGGCTTCCTCCTCCTTGGTCTCCCTTCCCTTCCACTATTTAAGTGTGGCTGGGCAGAGTCCACGCCCCTGACACACCCCTCGCTGGATACCTGGGCTGATCAGCGTGGCCTTGGCTTTCGCTCTGGCACCCCCTGCTGACGCCGCCTCCGCCCCTGGCTACTCCCTGGTCCTCTGTCCTCAACAGTTTGCCTTCCAGGCCATCCTTTTCTGTGCTAGAGGACCCCAGTGTCACATCCTACTGGACAGGGACAAATTCGGACTTGGAAGGAAAAGACGAGGGAAGGTCAGAGTCTGAGCAGGAGGGAAGCTGGTCACCAAATTCACTGCCATCTCCCTTCACACGAAATGCCAAAGGGTCTGGAGGCATGAGGATGAACCCATGGAGTACCTCCCAGGGTCCAGGCAACTGCTTCTGCTTGGGCAAGTTTGCCTCTGGCTACCCCCCCCCCCCCAAGTTGACCCTAGACCCGTGTGTCCCGGAGAGCTGCCTCATCATTGTGTTATGAAAGATGGGCAGAGGGAGGAAGAAATGGGGAGAAAGGACGACAAGGAAGTGGAGCAGGGGGAGGGAGGGAGGAAGGGAGGAAGGGAGGGAGGGAGGGAGGGAGGGACAGGGAGGGAGGAAGGGAGGGAGGGGGTGAGGGCGGGAAGGTGGATCTCAGAACAACTGCTTGAAGTTCACCCCAAACCTGTTGGGACTCTGACCTCTCAGGCCCTGTTCATACCCACTTGGTCCGCAGCTATGCAGATGGAGCCTTCAACGTGTGTGGCCTGGTGTTTGTTAAGAGGCATGTAAAGCAGGCTGCAGAAGGCCACCTCTTCTGCTCCCTCTCCCTGAAGAGCCCTGAAGAGGAATGGATAGCCAGTGCGCTATCAAAGGAGACATGGCCCTACTCCAGGTGTCCCTTGTGGGGCCATGGGCCACTGAGTCCACCTGCATGTGTATGCTGGGAGCACTAGCAATTGTGAACAAAACCCTTTGCTTTAATTGTTTTTTTCTAATTATGTGTGTATGTGTAGGTCTTTGTGTTGGTCTGACATGCCAGTGCAGAGGCTCAAGGAGGCCTCATATTGCCCTGGAGCTGGAGTTCCAGGAAAGCTGGGACTCAAACTCTCCCCTGTAAGAGCAGCACGTGCTCTAACCACTAAACTATCTCTCCAGCCCTTCGGGGGCATTCTCACAAGTATTTTTTGCATGAAACTGAAGCTGGGTTTAGGTGAAGCCTGTTGGGTTACATGAAATTACATGTGTAAGCTTGCTGTTTTTTCTCTTTCCTTTCTCCCTTTCTTCTTTCCTCTTTTAAAACAGTCTTACTCTGTAAGCCAGGCTGACCTTGAACTAGCTATCCTCCTGCCAGTAAATGGAGGCTTCTTGTCCTGCCTGCCCACCAGTTCCCAAATAACCACTCTAAGTCTTAATATTAATCATAATTGTCTGGCCAGTAGCTCAGGCATATTACTGACTGGCTCTCATAATTAAATTAACCCATTTCTGTTAGTTTATATTTTACCACGAGGCTCTCTTCTTGCTTCTCCATCAGCTACATGGCAGCTCCCTGACTCTTTCTCTCTGCATCTTTGTTTGGATTTCCCCCCTGGCTCTATTCTGCCTGGCCTTTGACCAAATCAGCTTTATTGATCAGCCAATAAAAGCAGCACATATTTGCAGCATACAGAAGGACATCCCACATCACCTGCCTCAGCCTCCTAAGTGCTAGGATCACAGATGTGGGCCGCTTGCACTGAGTTATCCATACTGTTCCATCTCTGTCTTTGTCACAGAACCTTGAATGTGAAGAGTGATGGGTTTCTCCGTTTATTTCCCTGTTGCTGTGATAAAATCCTGACTGGGGCCAGTGAGGTGGCCTAGCATTGGCTGTCCTGAAGTCTGGATCCCCAGAACCCACATGCAAGGAGGGAACCAGGCCCCACAAACTGTCCTCTGACCTTCACACATGCACTGTGGCCTGTGCACTAAAAGCTAATAAACATAAATGGGACAAAATATAAAAACACTCTAACAAAAGCAACCTAAGAGAGAAGGGCTCATTTCAGCTCACAGTGGATTGTTGGAAGGGATCACAGAGGCCAGAACTTGAGACAGCTGCTCAAGGGCATCTTCAGTGAAGCATCAAGTAGCAGGGACGCAGCGCCCGCTCCCTTTTACACAGTTCTTCAGGGTGCTCTGCCCAGGAAAATGGCACAGCCATAGTGGGCAGGTCTTCTGCATCCACTGACTTAGTAATGACTTGTAGACATTCTTAGAGGCTCGTCGTTTAGGTGATTCTAAACTGTGTCAAGTTGGCAGCTGACACTATCACAGAGGGTTGCTCTTCAGTGTGAGTGATGAAAATTAGTAACTGATGTGATTAATAACTGCTGCTGAGAGGAAACAGATGAGACCGGCCATGGACCTGGACAAGGCTGCTCCTCGGGGCTCTGCTGAGCAGCTGCAGTGACACAGTGAGGGCTACAGCCTGGCCAGGAATCTAGGTCCTCAGGTCCTCAGTGATGGGGCATCTTTAAGTCTCCCTCTCTCCCTCCCTCCCTCCCTCTCTCCTTCCTTCCGGCTCCCTCTCCCTCTAGGTCAGAAAACACTTTGTGGAAGTGAATTCTCCCCTTCCACCATGTGGATTCCAGGGATCAAACTCAGGTTATGAGTCTTGGCAACTGTTGGGGACACAGGGGTCCTTGTACTCACAGAGAAGCAGTAAGAGAACCAGGAATGTTAATGACACAGGGGTGTTTCCTCAATGGAGAGATAAAAATCAAGTACCTGAATTCTATCTGGAAAGCTGAGAGTGGATTTTGTTAATGACATGGTGACCTTTTGCTATGGAGGCAGACCTCACCCAAATCCCCCAGGATGATGATCCCAGACTCTTCCCTCCCTAGACTGTTACCCATCCTTAGGGGAGATGTCACAAGTACTTTATGGCCTGCTATGCTATGGTCACAGAACACACTAAGTCCGTTAGCTCTAAAACCCACCCTCACGGTCACATGGACTTTGTAAAGGAGTCTCCATGTAGTCACACCTTGAGCTTCATTGTGCACCTGGAATTGGGCTGACTGTTGCCTGGAAACCTTTTACCAAATTGAACTGTGTTTTCAAAATGCTGGCAATGAACCACCTGGCATTAGACTCCCCGAAGTCTGATCCAGATTGACAAAGTCAATATATACTGGGTTTTCTTTCTTTCTTTTCTTTTTTTCTTCAGAGAGGGTTTCTTTGTAGCCTAGCTGCCCTGGATCTCACTCTGTAGATCAGGCTGGCCTTGAACTCATAGAGATCTGCCCACATCTGCCTTCCATGCACTGGGATTAAAGGTGTTCGTCACCACTGCCCAATTGGGCTTTCATTCTTACCTATTTAAGCAGTTTGCTTCCTGCATGATACCTTCAGGGACTGCACTCAGGCTGCAAGTGCATTGACTCATCTCCTCAGCTGAAGGATGGTGACATCTACTACCATTTCCAACATGTCTGGGAACATATTTGGAACATAGCAACACAGTGTGGAACACAATATTTAAAACAATTACAGCATCACTTGCTATAAACAAAGGGAAAGGTGGAATAATCTCTTTCAAGGAGAGCACAACCTTTGACCACCCAGCTAGGGCACAAATATTGTTGAAGAACAAAGAAAAAGGAGAAGGGGTGAGTGGAGAAGAATCCAGGGGAGCTCAGTGCCACAGCTGCAGACAGAACTCTCCAGAGGAAGCTATTAGGGGAAAGGGGATAGCACTGTAGCCCTGATCTGGAATGCCCCAGTCCATGGCGCTGGTCCTAGTGAGATGTATATACCTGAAGGGGACCGTAGGGTCCCTGTCCCCACCCCCTTTTCTTACTTTGGCCCTGATGAGCACACACTCCTGTCCTGGCTTGGAAGTAACTGGTCTATCTGATTGTAGCTCAGAAGTTGCAGAGTTCTGTGAGCACTGACAACATGTCTGTTGGTTATTTACCTCAGGTGTCTATTATAGGCGCAGTCAGTTAACAGATGGGAAGGAGCACAAGAGGATCAAATCCACAAAGAAGTCACTGGGGTAGTGATGTCTCAGTGGGTAAAGTCCCTGCCATGCAACCCCAATGACCTGAGTGTGACTGCTAGGACCCACATAAAGATGGAGGAAAGAAGGGTACCACAGTGCTGTCCTCTGATGTCAGTGTGCCGTGGTTCACTCCAACCCGTGTCTACATATCGTACTTCATATAAACTAAAAAGAAAATTCCCTTAATCTTGGGCCACTTTTCTATTTGCTATTACTGAGCCATAGAAGTTTTCTTTCTCTGAAAATTTTACTATAAATCCCAGATTTTCAATTTGTAGGATTACAAAGGTTATAACTTTTTGGTAAGTTTTAAGGTCACTAAAGAGTCATCAATTTTACTGAAAAATAATGTTTCAGTATGAGCAAACAGCAGGCACGGGTAGGAAGGGAAGTTCAGGAAGATTGTAAGTAGCCTGCCATGAGATTTTCATATCTCGTTTCTTCTCAGGAGGCGTCAGCTGGAGGATGAAGACATCTACCCACAGGAAGATCAGATCACAAAGTTCAGGAAGAGGCTATTATACCAGCAAGGTTTTTAAAAAATTGGGTGACTTTGAGATTTATAGCCAGACCCCTGAGGCTTCTCCTACCCTCCTCCCAACCTGCAGATGAAGCTACGCCAACAGTTACACAGGCCATTTCAACTAGCTAGACCACGGCAGTGAGGACTGGGATGTGCGGGTTCCAAACTTACACTGATTCCCTACCCTAGACACTTGGGACAAGAGCTCCAAGAAGGGAGAAGAGGCACGGAATTACAATGTTAAATGAGGACTGTGGAGTTCAGAGGGCAAAGGCGGTCTGTCACTGGGAAGCCTCCTGTAAGAGGACTTATTGGATCAGCTATGAAGACAAGCAGGGCTTTGCTGGGGAGGTGATGTGTGAGAGGT